GTTTTGGAACAAAAACATCAGGTGGCAGGATTATTACATATTTTAATCTTCTTATGCAGCCATGGTGGCACAATGGTTAAGCACTTGGCTGCTAACTGAAAGGTTATTGATTCAAACCCACCGTAAGAGAAAAGCCCTTTCAACCTGCTCCCATAAGGATTACAGCCTAGAAAACCCAATGCAACCACTCTGCTCTGTCATGTGGAGCTGCTATGAGTCAGAAATGACTTGACAGAATATAACAGCTTGGTGCTTATCTGCAGTTTCTAAACTTTCAATAGCACACACATATTACTTACATCATAAAAAAATGAGTCATTACATTTTTTCAGAGATGTCAAAATGTTCCCATAAGAAGCTATTTTACTCAGCAAGGCCTGTGCTCCTTGTTTATTCCAAAATAGTGATTCTTCACTAGGAATGATACTTTTTCCCCAGCGGATGTTTGCCAATGTCTGCAGATATTCTTTGTTGGCACAACCAAGTGGGGGACACTATCTGCCTCTAGAGAGTAGAGGTCAGGGACACAGTGCTCAGTAACACACTGCACAAGACAACAAAGAATTACGTAGCTAAAGTGCCAATTGTACCAAGGTTGAAAAATCCTGTTCTAAAAGATTAACTATATTGAATGAGAAAGAACTTCTTCTCCAGAGTCTATTTAATCCTCAAAGTCTCTACTGTAACTGTTGACAAGAAGGCAAATTAATTCTGACAAAAACATGAGAAGTCTACAGTCCAGAGGCCAAATTCAATTCTATCAATTTCTAAATTAGCCTCAGATATGAAGGGTCTCAATACTTCCCAGGCCACATTCTAAACACAGTCCTAGAAAGCAAAGCCAACAGATGTCTGCTCATGTGAAAAGACCGTTTTATCCCCAGCCCAATTTTTATACATGGACATCTCATAAAAGTAGTAGAGTCTGTGATTACAAGTTACCGAAAGCTCTAAAAGGTGTCACATTTCTGTACATCCCAATGTTGTCATTACATGCCGTCACGTCGGTTCAGACTTATTTTGTGTTCATTGGGTGCTGTTAAGTTGGTTTTAATTCATAGCGACCCTATGAACAACAGAATGAAGCCCAGCCCAGCCTTGTGCCATCCTTACCATTATTCCTATGCCTGAGCCCATTACTGCAGCCATGTGTCAATTTATCTCAACAAGGGTCTTCCTCTTTTTTGCTGACCCTCTACTTGACCTTTCTGATGACAAAGTACAGGAGACAAAGTCTCTCCCTTAGAAGCATTCTGGATGTACTTCTTCCAACACAGATGAATTCATTCTTCTGTCAGTCTGTGGTAGACTCAATATTATTTGCCAACACAATACTCTACAGGCATCAGTTCTACTTAGACTTCCTTATTCATTGCCCTGCTTTCGCATGCATATGAGGCAACTGAAAATACCACGGCAGGGTCAGGTACACATTAGTCTTCAAAGTGACATCTTTGCTCTTTTAACATTTTAAAGAGGTCTTATGAGGCAAATTTGCTCAGGCTATATGTCACTTGATTTCTTGGCTGCAGCTTTCATGGATGTTGACTGTGGATCTGAGTAAAATGAAGTCTTTGACAGCTTCAATCTTTTCTCCATTTATCATGATGTTTCTTATTGGATCAGTTGTGAAGATTTTTGTTTTCTTTATGTTGAGGTGTAACCTACACTGAAGACTGTAGTCTTTGATTTTCATCAGTTAAGTGCTTCTTTCTAACCTTCTTCACTTTGATCAAGCAAGGTTATATCATCTGAATATCAAATATTGTTAATGAGTCTTCTTCCAATCTTGATGTCATGTTCTTCTTCATGTAATCCAGCTTCTCAGATCACTAGCTCAACATAAAGAATGACTGTTGTTGTTAAGTGCCATCAAGTCGGTTCCAACTCTCAGCGACCCTGTATAGTGTTTCTGAAGAGCAACTGGTGAGTTTGAACTGCCAACCTTGTGGTATAAGGATGGTGAAATACAACCCTGACCCACACCTTTCTTGATTTTAAACCACACAGTACCCGCTTGTTCTATTCAAACAACTAACTCTTGATCTATGTACAGGTCCCATAGGAGCACAATTCAGAGTCCTGGAATTCCCATTCATCATAATGTTATCCATAGCTTGTCATGACCCACAGAGTCGAGTGCCTTCGCATAGCCAATAAATCACAAGTAAACATGCTTCTAGTATTCTCTACTTTCAACCAAGATCCATCTGACATCAGCAATGATATTCCTTGTTCCACGTCCTCTTCTGAATCTGATTTGCTTTTCTAACAGCTCCCTGTTGATGTGCTTTTGCAACCATTTTTGGATTATCTTCAGCAAAATTTTACTTTTGTTTGACATTAAGGATATTGTAAGACAATTCTCGCATTCTATTGGATCACCTTTCTTTAGAAAGGGCAAAATTATGGATCTCTTGAAGTTGGTTGGTCAGTTAGTTATCTTCCAAATTTCTTGGCATAGTCAGGTGAGTGCTTCCTGTATGCATAAGTCTGTTGAAACATTTCAGTTGGTATTTCAACAATTCCTGAAGCCTTGTTTGTAGCTCATGCCTTCAGTAAACCTTAGAGACTTCTTCTTGCGATACCATAGGACTTTGATCATAGGCTACCTCTACTGAAATGGTTGAACACTAGCCCATTATTTTTTATACGGTTATTCTGTGTATTCCTTCCATCTTCTTTGATGCTTCCTACATTGTTCAACTTTCTGCCCACAGAATCCTTCAATTGAAACTCAAGGCTTGAACTTTTTCTTCAGTTCCTTCACCCTGAGAAATGCTAAGCAAGGTATTCCCTTTTGGTTTTCAAATTCCAGATCTTTGCATATTTTATTATACTGATTACGCTGTCTTCCTGAGCTGCCTTTGAAATCTTCTGTTCAGCTTTTATGACATTTCTTCCTTTCACTTTAGCTACTCTATGCTCAAGTTCAGTTTCAGAACCTCTTTGGGCATCCATTTTGGACTTTTCTTTCTTGTCTTTTTAACAACCTTTTGGTTTCTTCATGTATTGTGTCTGTGATGTCATCCGACAACTCCTATGATCTTCTATCATTAGTGTTCAATTCATCAAATCTGTTCCTGAGAAGGTTTGTAAATCTAGGGTAGAGTCCTGGTGTGACGCTGCAGTGGTGTGAATTGCAAGGTCGGCGGTTTAAACTCACCAGTCGCTCCTTGGAAACCCTATACAAAGTCGCTGAGTCAGGATGGACTCAGTGGCACTTCACAACATACTCAAGGTGTAACCCTGGTGTGGCGCTGTAGGATGAAGTACTGAACCACAAGGTCGGTTGGAACTGCAAGGTCAGTGATTCAAATTCACCAATTGCTCCTTGGAAACCCTATACAGGGTCACCTATGAGTTGGAGCCAATTCAACGGCACTTAACAACAATACTTAAGGTTGTATTTGGCGCTCATGAATTATTTTAACTTTCTTCAGCCTGCACATGAACTAAACATATTGAGCAACTGATGATGATGTGCTCTGCAGCTGGCCCCTGGTCTCTGATGATACTGAGCTTCTCTACTTTCTGGCTTTTTCCACATATATAGTCAGTTTGATTCCTGTGTATTCCATCTGACAAGGTCCACTTGTATAGTCCCCGTGTATGCTACAAAAAGGCATTTACAATGCATAAGTCAGGGGTCTTGAAACAATCTATCATGTAATCTTTTCTATCACTAAAGCCACATTTTCCAACTGCTGACTCTTCTTTATTTCCAATTTTCATATTCTAATCACTAGTAATTAATTATCAATGCATCTTGACTGCACATTTGATCAATTTCAGGTTGTAGAAATTGGTAAAAATTTCCTCATCTTTGGCATTAGTGGTTGTTGTATAAATGTAAATAATTATCATGCTAAGTCATCTTCCTTGTAGGCTTATGGATATTATTCGACCATTGATTATGTTGTCCTTCAGGATAGACCCTGAAATTCTTTCTTGACAGTAACTGTGTCATCATTTCTCTTCAATTTGTCATTCCCCACCGAGTAGACCATATGACGGTCCAATTCAAAATGGTCAATAACATTTCATTTCAGCTAATGCCCAGGCTATTTATCTGTATGTGTTCCATTTCATTTTTGACAATGAGAGTTTTCTAGATTCATACTTCAAACAGTCCACAATGGATGCTTGCAGCTGTTTCTTCTCATTTTGAGCACCTCCCGACCTGAATTCATAAGCCTACCTCCATTTTCTTCTAAGTCTCTTTCAATAAAGTTTAGCATTCTTTGCCAAAGGCAAGATTCCAGGGACTAAACAGGGAGTTATTTCTTGGACCTTGACTCTATCTTCTGGATAAACTTAATTTTTATACTAGAGTAATCTCTGTGTAGTGTCATGGAAAATTTTAACAACAAAAGAAACAGTAGAAACAAACTGAAACAATGATAAATTGGACATCTGAGAGCTGCAGCCTCCGAATGAATACAATTGTTTTATTTTGCTTTCTAACAAATAGCAAAAGAGCCTGAGGAATGAAAACAGACATGCTGACCTCAGAGCAACATGGCTGCACAGCAACTCTCCACCAAGCCTGCATCCAGAAACACTTGGGGAAGGAGAAAAGTGGGAAGAAAAGTTCAGTTTCCTAAACTCCTGGATCTGGTTCCAGTTTACTCCACTTGCAGTTGTTGGTTTTTTTATCCTCTGAGTTAATCAGAGCACACAAAAAAAGTATAAATCCTCAATGTGGGACTCCAAAGGACTTTCTGAACTAGGAACCATCATACAATGTAGTTTACTGCTATTTTAATAATTTATAGTATACATAGTGTATAGCGTAGTGGTTACGAATAGGGCTGCTAACCTCAAGGTCGGCAAATCAAAACTACCAGTGGTTCCGCGGGAGAAAGATGAGGCATTCTGCTCTGTGAAGATTTACAGCCTTGGAAACCGTGTGCAGGGTCACCATGAGTCGAAATCAACTCCACAGTACTTAACAATAACAACAACAACAACATAGTATATAAAATAATGCAACATACGTGAGGATTTGGTTCCATCGTGACTCTTGAGTAAGTGTAAGGAAGTTCTCCATACCATGCTGTAAGTCTTGGTTGCTGGTAAGTTATACCTGAGAAAGAAAATGTTGTT